TCAGTGTGTACCTCATCCAGCCAGGGAGCAGAGAGCAGGTAGGAAAGACAAGTGCTGGAGGCAGGCTGAAGCAGGTGACAGTCTTTCTAAGAGCCTGCAGGTCCCTAGAAACTAGTGCACTGATGCCCATTGCTGGGGTGGGGGTGCGGGAAGAGGGACCACATTATTAGGCTAGAGCTTGATATTAAGTAACCTGGGCAGCCCTCCTAGCCATTGCTGCCCAGCTACTGCTGTCAGATGTTTGACTTTGGGCAAGTAGCTTAACTTCTGTAAGGCTCTTTTTTTTAAAATTCAAAAATTGGTCTGAAAGTGAAATAGTGAATGACTGTAAAGTGCCCAACTCAGTGACACACAGTAGGTGTTTTATAAACCCCGTTATTCTTCTGTTCCAAATACCATTTGGTGCCATTAATGTGGGTTTCTGGACATGTTGGACAGGGATATGGATCGCCATTAATCCTTCTCTGGAAATGGGCCATGTGTCCATCACACATGCATCCACTCGGGTGGTGGTGCACACAGTGGGGCAGTTTTTACCTTGAACCTCGGCGAATCTTAGAAATGTGGATTCAGAGTCATGAAATTGGCTCTCATGGCTTCCAGGCTGGGTTCCTCGATCAGGATCAGCACACAACACTGTCTCCTGTGGCCTGGCTCCTCGGCACATGGATCCTGTCTTCACCTGGGTCCTCATGTGCTCTCCCTCTTCAGTCTGTGTCTCGATCTCTTCCTGTAAGGACGATAGGTTGTACTGAGTCAGGGCTCACCTTGGAGGATTCACTTAATCACCTCTTTAATGACTCCATCACTGGACACATTCCAAGGGACTGGTTTGGATTTTCATGTGCCAGTTTGGCATTATTCAGCTATAACATGAAGGGGAATCAGTCAGACACAAAACAACAAGCAAGAGTACATCTGTTAATAAAACACAAATGTCCTGGTTTCTGTTCCATCAGATAGCACAAGACTGTGGCTGTATATGTGGGTCTCATGGTCATTAGCAAATGGTTCTGCAGTGGTGACCTCCAACCCAGTTTAGATCAATATCACACCAGTCACAGTGACTTACCCCATAGGTTGGACACGGGGTCCCAGGGCTGCCTTCTTGTAGGTGTCAGTTTCAAACCCCAGGGTGTCTTTGTGCTTCCAACCAATAGGGTATCATTTGAGATTGTTATGAACCTGCTGTGGGTACCATCTATTTTCTCTAGTGGCCCTGTAGACTTTGGGAGGCATGATTTGTGGTGTACCAGGAAGGATTTGATGAAGGGTACAGATGATGAGTTACACAGGGTGAGCAGCGTGGGAGTGAGGGGCACTTCTCTCTCCAGGAGCTATGTGTAAGGCCCCCAAAGCCCATCCGCTGGGTGTCATTGCTCACGGCCTTGTGGCAAACACCATTGTGTACATTCTTCCTGGCCTCTCTGGGTGTCATTCCTCCCTCTGTAATGAAGAGGGTCCTGTCCTGCTGAGGGACAAGGGAAAAGTCAGAAGTCTGTGGCCAGTTGCAGGATACAGGGTCCTGGAAGATGAGAGTTTGTGTGGCCTGCCTAGGGGTGCAGATGTCTCGATTCCTGAGATCTGCCTTGGAAAGGGAGTTTAGATGGGAGTGGTGGTCAAAGCCCCTCAGGTATCTGTCACCCATCACAGAGGTCTCTGGGGTAGGTACATTCACAGAGGCAGAGGTTGAGCTGTTATGATGTGGGGAAGGGAAGAAGGGACTCTTGTTCAGTGGGTGTGGTGTATTGGATGATGAAAAAGTTCTGGAAGTAGGTAGTGGCTAGCATGTCACTGTGGATGTACTCAATCCCACTGGTTTGTATACCTAGAAATCTTACTTTTTATGATACTTTGTATTTTAAGAGCTTAATAATAATTGTTATTATTATTATTATATTGGGTATTGGGTACCGAATCCAGCATCGTGTGCATTCCAGTCAAAAGTTCTACCACTGGGCCGCATCTCTAGCCCCAAAGATGGAGCTTTTTATGCCATGCATATTTTGCCACAATGAAAAGGGAGAGGGGCAGTGAGATGGCTCAGAGGGTAAACACTTTTGCTGCCAAACATCGGAGCTCCATCTCCAGGACTCACACGGTGGAAGGAGAGAACTGATTCCTGCAGGTTGTCCTCTGACCTTCAGACCATGGCACAAATGTGGCCAACACACACACACACACACACACACACACACACTTCTAAAATTATGTCTATTAGTAAAGATGGTGGGATGGAGCATTTGAGCCAACTATACAGTGATGCAAACCTATGATTCCAACACCGGGGAGGCTGAGGCAGGAAAGAAGGGGTTTGGGGCTTGTGCTGACTATATAGAAAGACCCTGACTAAAAAAAAAAAATAGCCGCCACCACCACCCAGTAAAATAAGAAAAAACACAGACCCAGCACATGTTAGGAAGGAAACCCAAGACAGTGTTTTTACCCAGAACATTGTGGATGCTGGACGACCCCCCCCCCCCCCCGCAACTGATGAGGTTATGGTTGGAAGTATGAGGGTTCCAGTACAGTTTCCTGGGTCAGAGCACACAAGTATGGAGACTCTTCTGCAGGACCTGGCTGGTTTAGGAATCTGGAGTTTTATGTATGTAAGGTTGAAGACGTTGGTTTTTATTGGGGGTCTTGGCAACAGGGGTGCTACCCAAGTGGGGCCCAGGTCCCCCCCTTGCAAGGTAGTGAGACAATGAGAGGAGGTGCTGGCAGGTGTCTGGGTGGCCCTTGCTCTGTGCAGAGCATGGTGGGTATGAGAGAGCAGTGCAGGACCTTGTCTCTGCCCAGCTGTGGCTCAGTCTCCTGTCTACTAAGCAGGGATAGTAATTAGTGGTCGGGCCTTTGTAAGCCCTAGATGACTTGTCACACCGCACAGAGCCACGGCTGCTGGAAAGTGAATGTGATGGTGGCTGCTGCTTCTGTGACTTCATTTTATTCTTCATTTGGGGATGCGGAGAAGTAGGCTGATTCTGTCCCAAGTCCAGAGGGCTACCAGAGAGAGCCATTCACCTGAGGGCGACCCCTTGTGTCTCATCCCTGGCATCCTGGCTCAGAGCCCTTGAAGACAGCCCAGAGCTACCCAAGTCCCCTATAGTCAACAGGGTCAGCCCTTACTGATGCCAGGATACGGGGCTGTTGGGCACAGACCACAGAGTGGCAGAGCCCCTGGTACTCCTGGCACATTCTGGGCTCCTGAGAGGGTGGCTAGGGGCCAGGGTGCTGGAGAGAAGGAGAGACAGACGGCCTTTTAAGGAAACATTTCTGTGCCTCAGGAAAAAAAAATAGAGCAAGTATGAGACTCTGAGACATAGTCCGTGGGCCAGCAGCCATGGCCCAGTATGGACCTGGGGTGGAAAGCCCTCTGGGATATGGCCTTGTGGGGGTATGATTGTACCCCCTTAGACATGGTTCTTAGTGGGTACATCTGCCTGGGGAATTGGGGTAAAGGGCGAGGAAATGGTTCGTGGCTAAGATGGGCCTGGGAGAAAAACCCTCTATGTGTCTCAAAGCCATTGCCCGCCCTTATACGATGGAGGCCAGTTTGAGCTCTGGTAGTGGAGGCAGCGCTGACCTTCTGCGTAGGGTCCTCTCTATAGGTCACAGCTGTCTATCTGCAGTGCTCAGCATGGGAACCCAGCCAGGACATGGTCCAGCAATCCTGCCCAGACCCCGTGGCACTCCGATGAGTTGGGAGGGGCCCTCTGAGAGCCTGGTCTGCCTTTTGAATCTTCATCCTCCCTCCCACCCCTATGGTTGGGTTGGTTGGGGCTGTAAAGGACGGGCATTTTAACCAGTGGCTGAGCCATGGCTATTGATCAGCTTGACCATAGGCAGCTCGGCAGATCTCTCTCCTCCCCAATCTTAGCTCCCACTCTGGACCTGGTCCCCACAGACATCTCCTCTAGAGCATTCACCCCAAGTTCTGTGCTCATGTGAATCAGACACTGGGTTTTGGGCTCTTTCTGTACCTCTCTCATTTCCTCACAGCGAGGGCCATAGTCATCAGACCTCTTCATACCAAGATTGCCTGGGTTCAGTTCCTAGCCTCAACATTTGCTGGGTGACCATGGGTAAATTGCTTACCCTGTCTGTGCCTCCACGCCTCCTGGGGAGGTAATGGTAGAGGCTGTCCTTCTGGTTGTTGAAAGGGCAAAGCACTTTATTCAGCAGCATGCCGGCTAGGTGGTACCAGCTCTGCAAACATTGGTATTGCATGGGAGATGGGGTTGCCTCCCGCCTGGAGAGGCAGCTGCCTCTTCAGCCACCCTCTCTGCCTCTCTGTGGGCCTCTGGCCTGGTGCTTGGGTGAGGAGTCAGAGCCAAGGTTGAGTACTGAGATCCAAGAAAAATGTGTTGGCTGGAGAAAGGAACGCCCTGGCCTCTGACACGTGCCCTGCTAATTGTCGGGCTGCCGTGGCCATTGAGCCATCCTTCCTTTCTCCCTCCTAGAGGCCCAAGTTGCCATGACCTTGTCTCAGAGCAGGATGAGGATAAACTGATGATGATAGTCTCCTTCCCAGTGGGCGCTGCCTCCCCACAAAGTGCTCTGTGCGATCCCTGGAAGATCTGGCCATTCCCAGCCTCCAGGAGCCTCCCCCAGCTCTGACTTGGGGGTGAACCACTGGCTATGGGGAGAGGATTGGGGGATGGGATTTTACTTTCCTACAGGTCTAAATCATGTTTTTCGACTGTTTTCAATTCATCTTTCTACACTGTAGAGGAATTGGGGGTGGGGGGGGGGGAAGCTTTATGGTTACTGCAGGATCCAGGGTATAAATCCTGCTATGCTGATGTCCAGGCAGGTGTTTGACCTGTCACAGGGATTTGACCTGTGAGAGACATTTCATGTTTGTTGGTGGCCTCCTGAAGAGCTCTCTCACTGTGCCCCGGGGAAGGCTGTCCCCTTGGGGATGGGGTAAGAGTGAGCTCAGGAGGCCCAGGGGCTGCTGGGACAGATGCTAACAGGGACTTTTTTTACCTCTCTTACAGGTGGCTGCCCCTTGTGTCCCTCCGTCCAGCCATGAACTGGTGGTGAGTGACAGCCATTCTTTCCCCTTCCAGTCTCTCCTGCATGTCAGGAGCTGGGTTTGTGGGGTGGAGAGGGTTGAGGGCTTTGGGCTGAGGCTGGTGGGAGGAAATGAGTCATGAGGTCCCTCCTGACATGCTGCAGGGCCTGCTCTGTGTGTCTGGAGATTTGAGGTCCTTGGGAAAACCCATAAAAGGCCATCTTTGTATGTCCCCAGGCCTGGCTGGATCACTGTTGTTCCAGGGCTTGGAGGACTAGAGTGTGCTACACCCCCCTGGCTGTAGGTCTTATACCGTTCACTTGGAGGCAGGGGGGATAGACGGTGTTTCCTGGAGTCCATCTATGAGGTGGTGGCCTCTGCTCCTCTCCTCAGCTTTGCTATGTCCCCGTGACTCTGTTTTTCTGCTTTTATGGCCCTCATCCCCCCCCCCATCCCTGTCATGTTTCCAGAACAGTTTGGACAGGGGCAGGACCTCCATGAGTTGTGGGCTGTGGAGCTGGCCGCTGCAGACTGATTCCAGCTGGGCTGACGTGTTGGCCTAGCTTCCTGCTTCCTTAGCCTCTCCAGGTCCCACTCTGCTGTGTTCTGGGGGTAGGAGAGACAGGAATGTGCAGAGGGGTGGGCCCACCGGATCTGCTGGGCTGGTGTGGAACACCTGTGGTGGTTCTAATGCCGTAGGGAGTCTAAATCTGATTGTTAGTATCCTTCATAGGAGTGTGGTCACTTGCTCTGCCTAGATGTGGGACACACAGCAGGGCCATCTAGTTTTCTTTTGCTCCATCCATAACTTGCCTGTAACTGTAGCCTGGTCCCCTTCTCTTTGCATCTTGGGTTTCTGACTGATACACTCAGCTTTCAGACACCTGGCTGCCTCAGAGCCACGTTGCTCTGCTCTATACTCAGGCCATGGCTGGACCAGCTACAGAGGCCAGGCTCCCTAGGTCAGCTCCTGGATTCCAGCTGCCCCACTGGGCCGTCCACGTGTGGAGTGTTACTTTCACAGAGCCCTGTAGCAACAGCACAGTAGGGGTGAGGCTGTGATTGAAGCAAGAATGGTTGGGCTAGAAACCCCTCCAGGCTCACAAAGGCATGCCATGTACCAGAGGAAGGCTGTAGGGAGAGAAGATGGATGACTCTTGTCATCTGTACCTTAGGGCTAGGAATGGAATGTCCTTGGCTGGCCAGGAAGGCGGAGGGTCCAGGGTTTAGGGACCATGAGGCAGGGGCCAGCATCTGGCTCTCGAGAGCTTTGTTTGTAGAGGCAAGGTCCAAGGTCAGGACAGAAGGGTGTAGGATGGTGCTCCGGCTGGAGGCCTGCAGTACGGGCTGGAAGGACTGCCTGCCTTTTGAAGGACACATGCACCAGGATGTCTTCCTGACTCTGTGCTGTGCCCACTTGCACAATGGTGTTGGCCTTACAGGACTTTGGATGAGCAGTCTCCTGGTGAGGCGGGGGCCTGGAGGTCCTCAGAGCCCACCTGCCCCAGCGATAAGAATTCAGGGAGTTCCACTCCCTCCTCTGGTCCCAGTATCCCAGATCTTTATTCATCCCTTATTCCTTGTTTCTCAATTTCTTGGCTTCACTGACCCTGAACACATCACCCACCCACCCCCTCTCCTTAGTTGCCCTACTCTAGAATGGGAGATAGTAATAGTACCTACTTCATGAGTTGTCAGAAGAATAGACCATCAAACTAATCCACCTAATGTATATTTGAAGCCACAGATGTCTGTCACCTCACGTGGAGCAAAACCTTAGGTTCTTCCACAGATACCTTCCTCTCCCGGTTTCTTTTTCCCTAACTCTGTTGATCCTTAAACATATCAGACACCATGCTACCTCAGGGACATGACATGGCTCCTTCTGTTCCCTCTGCCTCGAATGCCAGCATTTCCTTTCCCACAGGAATCTCACCCCCCTCCCTTCTTCCCTTGCTCCGTGGTGATTATGGCCTCTCACACACTCTGCACCTTGCTTATTTATCTTGACTGTGATTGAGGTCCACCCATACCATGTGAGTTCCAGGATAGGGACTTTTATCTCCCTTGCACTCAGTAGGCATTCATACATGTGCGCTGGGCACAATTTAGGACTGTGATTAGCTGGGGGTGGGGTAGGTGGGTACTGCTGTGGCCCTGTGTTCCCTAATGACTGTGGTGAGTTCTGTACATGGGGCTCTAGGGCAAGTCACCTCATTGACTAGGAAGTTCTGTGCTGTCCCGTCAGTGAGAAAGTGGCCCAGGAGAAGCAGGGAGAAAGTTTGGCTCCCCCAGCACACTCAGCACCTGCTTCCTCGTGGTGGGTGAGGCAAGTGTTTGGAGCAGGCTCCTAAGAGGGAGGAAAGGGTGGCTTCGGGATTTTCCTTCCGTTTCCCTCCACTGCCAGCCTTCCAGCCTCTGTAGGCCGCTGTCTGGCCTCTCTTACTCTCCTGTTTCCCAACTTGGTGTGTCCCGTTCATCTGTCTGTCTGTGGCATGCTCTGGCCTTGGCCTTGGTTTGTCTCTGTTTTTTTTTTTCCTGACCTTGAATGAATCCTAACCACCCTTCCCCTGATTCAGACCCAGATTTTCTGCCCAGCTTCAGGCCCTGCTGGCCAAACATATTTTCCAGCCTGTGCCCAGGCCAGCTAGGGCCGAGTGGTTTAATCTTCAACTCGTGTTTTCATCTTACTCAACAGATGTTGCCCAAGGGATTGGGTAGAAGAGTCCGGGGGTTGCCCCCTCCCATGGGGCTCTAGGGGGCAGGATGGAGTTAGGATGCCTGCTAGACACTCCTGATCCTTGCAAAGAGCTGAAGCAGCTGTTCTCAGGCCCTGAAAAATAAAGTTTGAAGAATTTCCCGATGATGATTGCTGAATGGATTGCCCACTAAGGCGCCTCATGTCAGGACCTGTGTGTATGTGATAACTGGCATCCCTGGCTGGGATGGCTAGCAAGGCATCTGAGGCTAGGCTGTCTACACACGAGGGTTCGTACCCTGGACATCTGGGTAACTGGAGACACAGTTTTCCCGCCATTGTTAGCCTCACAGCAGGGGGTTGGAATGTCCTACAAGGTAACCTGGAGGTCAGGTTGGGGTGAGAGTTTGGGAGCTGGGGAGTCAGAATACTTAAGGGCATGTGGTTTCACCTACTATAATAACATAGCACTCTCCCCACTCCCAATGTGAGGTTTTGCTTTCCTGGGTTTCAGTTACCTGATGTCAACTGAGGTCCATTAAGTGGAAAATTACAGAAATAAACAATTCACCCACTTTAAATTGTGTGCTGTTTTGAGTGGTGTAATGAAACCTGGCCATGTCTGTCCACTCATGCCCTGTGAGTACATGTGGGATGTGCTGCTTGCCTGTAAGTCAGCAGCTGCTTCTGCCACTAGATGGACTATCATGGTGTCATAGTGTTGGATTCAAAGTCACTGCTATTTTACTATCTCCAGAGTACAAGAATTTCAGAGCTGGCTAATCAGGCAGGGCTAAGAGAAGCCATAAGCTTCTTCCTCTCTGTGAGGAGACAGTTTTCAGTGTATGTATAGGATTTTATTCTAACTGTCACTTTGGCATCTGCTGGATTCCTGGGACCACCCTGAGTGGGAGGGGCCACTGCAATGGTAGCAGTGAGATGCTTGCACTTTGTGTAGTTTGGATGTGGACACAGGAGAGAGATGCTGTGCCTTACTTCATCGTGGCTGATGTGGTACTGAGTCGAGGCCACAAAATAGATCAGGGTGAGAGTGAGTTTTTCATCAGTGGGACTAAGAGTGGCAAATGCCACTGTCACTTGCAGAGCACCTGTAGATTTCAAAGCCTTTTTCCATGGCTCAGGGCAACTGGGAGGCTTGTGACCCATATGGACACCTGGGCATCCTGTGTCTATCCATCCTGGAGAGGCAAGTGTGTCCGTGTACAGTGGTTAGATCAGGGCTCAGGAGGGCTGACTGTCTTGCTCATAGGCACAAAGCTGGTGGTGGCAGATGGACTTAGAAGGGTACCCTGGTCTGATATTTAGACTTGGGCTTCTTATGGTCCCTGATGTCTCTGTTGGTCAGTGGACTAGGGTACCAAGAGAGGGTTTGTCATCTGTTCAACCATTCCTTAATTGCACCAACCCATGGCTGTACACGCAGGGTCTGTGACAGCCACTGTGCTGATGTGCAGAGTTCTTTTCTAAGTTGGTTTACTTTCCTTTTTGCATGTTGGGGAGCCCAGAGTCTTGTGCATGGGAGGTAAGCACTGCCAAGCCACACTTCCAGCCCAGTGGTGTTCTCTTCTACTGGAGTTGCCAGGTTGTAAACAGATCTCTAGATTTTTTAAAAAAGATTATTCTTATTTGTATGTATGTGTGTATGTGAACACATGTGTGCAGGTACCTGACTGGCCAGAAGAGGGCACCTGATCCCTTGGAGCTAGGTGATTTCGAGCTGCCTGATGTGGATGTTAGGAGCTGAATTCCAGGTCCCCCAGAAGAACAGTGCTTTAGCTGCTTTTCCATTGCCCCGGCAACTTATTAAAGAAAGCATTGAATTGGGGCTGTGGTTCCAGAGGGCTAGAGTCCATGGGCATCACGGCAAGAAGCATGGGGGCAGGCAGGAAGGTACAGTGCTGGAGTAGTGTCTGAGAGCTCACATCTGTTCTACATGCACAAGGTGGGGGTAGGGAGGAGGAGGAGGAGGAATAGGAAGATGAGGGAGGGAGGGAGGAAGGAGGAGTGAGGAAGGGGGAGGGAAACTAACTGGAGAGGTCACACATCCTAATCCTTCCCAAACAGTTCCACCAACCATGGACCAAGCATTCAAATATATGTGCCTATGGGAGCCATTCTCTTTCATTCAAACACCGCAAGCCATGAGTGCTCTTAACTTCTGAGCTGTCTCTCCATCCTGGAACCTAAGATTTTTAAAGTGCTATACAGAAGACCCCATCATAGGGCCTGGAGCAGCAGGCATCTGGCATGAGACTGGGCATGGTGACACATGCCTGTAATCCCAGTACTCAGGAGGTGGAAGCTAG